TTTTATTTCATGGGTGACATTTGCTAGATTTCGCAATTAATTTCGATTATTTCCAAATTTATTTCCAAGTTATAAAAATTGTTATCGTACAAAAAAAATTCGTCAAAAAATCGAAAAACAATCGCACTTATGAAAATTTGGGAATTCAAAATTTCAGGATTGCGTGTCTGAATCCGCCCCGGAATGTTTTTAATTTGCTCACGGGACGGCCGTCCTGATTCCAAAATGGTATGATATGTTGGGTTACTGTAACACCTACCCTGGCCCCGCTGCATCGGTGTACTCTACAAGACCGGCTTTTGCTCCTGTTCTCGTCCTGCATTACAGGTTTAATGAAAGTCTCCGGTTCACAAAGTCGATTCGATTGCACTTTCCAGCCTCGTTGTGATTTTGCTGATCCTGAAGAGCAATTAACAAAAGGTAGATCCCTGAAGATTCAGCTGGTCTACCTGCAAGTTCAAGCAGAAAAATAAAATATGAACAAGTCGATTCGAGCCCAAAGAAAAATTTATGTATATGTGAATAAGGAAGGAATTGGTACATAAGAATAATGCTTCTTTTACAAGAAAGTAGTGTATATGAAAGAAAGTCCAGAAAAAAAAACAAATATTGCAAATAATTCTGAAAGGAAAGTTTTCGAGTTCACTCTTTTTGTTCTTAGTAGTTGCCGTAATTATTTCACTATCAGGGTTCACTAGCAGTATTGCGCCAATATTGCAGATAACTTGGGTTCACTTCCTCCCTTATTACAGCAGCAAGTGGACACTTTCACACACACACACACACACACACTCTCTCTCTCTCTCTCTCTCTCTCTCTCTCTCTCTCTCTCTGGTCAACTGCTTGTCAACCCACTTCACCCAGCTCCAATTTCAACTTCGACTTTTATTTTTTCTCTTGTCTGTTTGTTTCCGCACAAACACGTGTTTAAATAAATGCGGTGGTAGCGACAAAACCCCGGGGTGTTGGTAAACATAGAATACAACTTGACTACTGTCCTCTCCCCCTTCATGGTTAAATGAACAGTCATTTCTTCTCAATTGGTATTCCATAGTTCATATAAATAATATTGTGTTATATATATACGTGCATGCATACATACATATATATATATATATATATATATATATATATATATATATCAGGTCATCCCATAAGTTCTGTCCGAATTTTGAATAAAGAAAACAAGTGACCAAATGTTACATTTAATTACAGATTCAATCAACAATGTGTTTTCCCTGATTATCTATGACTTCCTTCCATCTATTAACAAGCTTACTAATTCCATTACTGTAAAATTCTTTTGGCTTTGATTCGAAGAACTCACAAATGTCAGTTTTAACCTCTTCCTGTGTTACAAAAGCTGTTTTTTCCAAATGATTCTGTAAGCTACGAAACAAATGGTAGTCTGAAGGATCAAGATCGGAAGAATAAGGTGGATGAGGAATTTTCTCCCAACCCAAGTTCTTCGATCTTTTGTGACGTGATTCTTGCTGTGTGGGGTCGCGCATTGTCCTGATGAAACATCACCTCTTTCCGATTCACTAGAGCAGGTCTTTGTTGCCTCAAAGCTTGGTTCAAACGCTATAATTGCTGACAGTATATTTGTGCATTAATTGCTGCATTAGGTGGTAAGAATTCAAAGTGGATTATTCCTTGGCGATTCCACCAGACTGAAAAAAGAACCTTGTTCCCTTCTCGGCTGTGGCTGGGGTCCTTCCCTTTTACCAAGCCACTGTCTACGACGCTTAACATTTCGATAAAAGATCCATTTTTCGTCGCCGTTCACAAGTCTATCCAAAAAAGGTGAAACAAGTTAGCGAGAATGGAGAGAAGAGCAGATGTCAATTGGGATTTGAGGTTGTTTTCAGACAATTCATGAGGCACCCATTTTCCAAGTTTAGGAACTTTTCCAAATTGTTGAAGATGACGATGAACATTTGTATGGTTTGAACTGAGAACCACTGCCAATTGCTCAACTGATAAAGGAAAATTTTCTTCAAGGGCTGCTTCAAGAAGCTTTTCATCAAACTCAACTGGACGTCCGGTTCGATCTTCATCTTCAAGGATGAAATCTCCACCTCTGAATTTTGCAAACGATCTTCTGCAAATTATTTCATTCACACATTCCTCTCCATAAACTGAGTGAATGTTTCTAGCCACTTCGGCTGCTGAGTTTCCTTTCTTGAATTCATAAAGCATTATGTGCCTCAAATGATTCTTGGGTACTTCCATGTTAGCAGGGTTTTAATCAAACAAAATTTAATTTTATTGTTCACTGAAATAAAAATTGATCAGTTTAAATGTATCTAAACATAAAAATAATGTTCAGCTCCATTAGACATTATAAAATACTCTTTAAATTTCGTTCATTTTAACAAAAAGTTAAAATTCGGACAGAACTTATGAGATGACCTGATATTAATAATTCTGACAAGTCACAGATTCTCTAGACACAAACTTCACCACAGATTATTTATATATATTCTTTTATAAACAAAATTCTATATTACTATAATTATTATTTTTTCAAGGGTGACCATTGCTCCCTGTCACACTACGGCCTCTAGAAGTCAAGTTAAAAAAGTGTGACACACTGACACATTGACATTCGCATTTATTATATAGATGATCCATTATTGTAAAAAATTAGGTTATATTAAAATCTGTATTTTATATGAATATCACCTAATGAAAATTGAGAAGTAGGTGAATGGGGGCCCCGTATCACAGGTTGAATCATAGATTGGAGTCGGGGAGACGGAACGAGACCCCTGCACCGACCCTGCATCTAACCATTTCAACTCTAAAATGATAAGACCTTGCTGCCAATTTAGTACTGCGCTTAAATTTTTAAAGTCTAGGTTCGACAGAGAAAAGTTCATCAGGACAATTACCTTGAAAGTATTTATAGAAAAGGCAGAGGGAAGCTACGTTATGGCGGTGGGAAAGAGACTGAATTTCCAGACTTTTCATACAAAGCTTATTTCACGTACATCGCTAAAAGATATCTACGACGACATCGATATTATTTTTAATATTATTATAATACATTAGCGTGTATCAAAAGTAATTTCGATTTTTACAGGTCTTTCCTCCAAAGCTTATTTCATTAGGTTTATTTATTGAGTTTCCAGTTCCTTCTAAAGTATAATTCGTCCCGGCCTGAATTCTGAATTCGTTTTTTTTTTTTTACTATTTATTTTTCCTTAATATGTTTGCCTATCACCCGTTTCATTTCCTCTTTTGAAAAGGACAAGTAATTTATCCCTTGTTTCTTGATTTAAAATTGTGTTTCCGGTTGCTTCTAAAGTATACTTTTAACGTCTCCGGCTGAATTCTAAAATTTTATTTACTCAACAGGTGTAGATAAGTTTGCCTATCGCTCGTTTCGCATTCTTTTGCCTTTTAAAAAGGAGTAGAGGTTTGCTTGTTTCCTGTTTAAGAATGGGTTTCCGCTTCTTTCTAAAGTCTACTTCCAACGTCTTCCCGCGAACCCTGAAATGTTATTTACTAATATCTTTTCCTCAATGGAAGATAGGCTTGACTATTGCTCAGTTCACACGGTGGAGTAAAGCATAGCGGCTCGGATTGGGGAATCGGAGAGCCGAGTTCGAATTCCAGTCGAATCCATTACATTCACTTACACGCTAATACTTCTTCTTAAATGGAGGATAAACTAGGTTCTATCTGCCTCGTCAGTTATATATCGAAAGATACATGATCGTATAAGCATGGCACATAACTGAATGGCTAGCGACTTGATGAATTAGAGAGCCGAATTCCAGTTGAATCCATTGCATTCACCTCTTCTTCTGTCCCAGGTCTGGGTTCTGTAGCCTTTACCGCAGAAAGAAATGTACCCTACAACGTAATAACTACCCCGGGTATATGAGTATATGACAACAAACTGGGAGTAGAAGAGGATAAGAACACTCAGAAAACAGCTTCAGTCTGCCGACCCTATGTGAAGGTATTATCGGAGAAAATGTCCATATAACATCAGGACAAACTTCAAAAGTGGTTCAACATTTCGCAGACACCTCTTCCGAGTAAAGAGGAGAATATGACTAAGTACTGTGTGTAGGCCATTCTGTGCAGCTGTGGTAAGAAATATAAAAGAGAAACAGGCCGAGCCCCTAAGGTAAGCGGTAACACGAAGGGAAATAGAAAAATCAGGCGTAGCTGACCACATATCGAGGGACAAGGGATATCGTCGTCCCCTGTGAATGCGGTTGTAATAATAGACAGAGAACATCACTGGAAAATAAGAAACTCTGAGGAATCAGCACATATGCTAGGCCACAAAAAACTCCTGAGCCGACCAAGCATAGAAATGAATACAATATGGGAGCCAGTATTAAGGAGTACTAGAGAAAAGCAATGAATAACAACAAAAAATTGCAATATAAGCTCTGGTAAAAAAATACATTAATAACAGAAAAATTGCAATATGAGCAATGGTAAAAAATAAGACATTAACTCCCCAAAAATTCATACACTGGTGTCCTCAAGGACACATGGCCCAGTGGATAAAGCGTTGGTTAGATCCAGGAACTAGTCCATAAGAGTTATGAGTTCAATTACTTAGAGAGTTGAATTAAAGGAAGATAACTGAGACATCCGGAAGAGGCATGGCATGTGGAACTAGAACAATCTACTCTGATGAATGAAATAAAGTGTTCGGTTCGAAATTCCAATCTGAAGAAGGCTGGAACGTACAACGGTCGAAACGTTGTGAATATGGCAATAAAGATAGGGATAACAGCTCGAATAATGTAAATAATTTGAGTAATCATAATACCTCATCTCAGAGATATAGACAGATATTGAAGGGGTAGACGTTTAGCCATTGTTTCCTTTTTAGAAGTAGGTTTCTAGTTTCTTCGAAAGTTTTGTCATTCTCTTTCACTCCCAGTGTCCCCCCCTTAGTGTCATAGTGGCATTATCGCCTTACTGAATGATTATATTAATGTAAGATAACACAAGGGAAATTTGACATATTGTGATAGATATATATGAACAGAATAAGATAGATAGATAGATAGATAGATAGATAGATAGATAGATAGATAGATAGATATGAACAGACTGGGAAGAATAGATGTGCCGTTTATTAAAAAATTCTGATCGAAAGTGACGTATTGGGTACACCATAAACATTTTGCCTTTTCAACCCAACGACAAAATGGACGCAATAAAATCTACATTTGCATCCGCCTTCCCTCACCATATTCCCTCATATTTACTTACCAAACTTACAGACCCCCGACCCTAATGTTATTTTTTTTCTCTTGTCCTTTCGTTCTAAGAAATAGAGCAGGATTTATCGAGACGCGCCCCGACTAACCTGGCACCGACCGACTTTGTTGACAATAGCTCACATAAAAAAGATTTTTTTCTTGGCGCGAATAAAGTGATTTGGCAAACATGATTAAAGCCTTGATATATTTTGATTACGAGTGTTGAACAAGCAACGATTATCTTGGTGGTTAGAGAAACGAATAGTCAACCACGAGAGTTTTCCCGACATTTCCTTGGATTCCTTCTTTCGATGTCAATAATTTTGGAATGTTCAAGATGTCTTTTTAAAGACAAATAAATCGAAGCATCTTTAAAAACAATAAAACGGCACAACTCCCGGGCGTTAATTTTATAAAGTGTGGGTTTAGATGTTTTCTGTTGTTACTGCAGCTGCTGTTATTATTATTTTTTTTAATTATTTTCTTTGATTTCTGGCGTTTACACATTTCTTTCCGGGTCCCGCCCAGGGGCCTAAGGTTAGAAATGGCATCATGACACTTTCCACAGACAAAAAAAAAAATTAAAAAAAATTACATAGATAAAGCCCTTCGTAAAGTGTGGGCTGTACTTGTCAGAACAATTTTTTTATCTCCTTGAGGCATGGACTTCCAGGAATCCCTTCAATTAGTCTACTGCAATCTTTTCCAACCAGTTCTAGGGCCCCAACTACAACAGGGATTGTTGATGTTCCCATATGCCACATTTTCGAGATTTCTATTTCAAGGTCCTTGTATTTTGACAACTTTTTGAATATCTTCAAAGATACATTGCAGTCAGCAGGGACTGTCATATCAATAAGGAGGCACCGTTTTTGTTTGTGGTCTTTAATAACAATATCTGAGCGGCTGGCCTTGATTGTTCTGTCAGTGTGTATTGTGTAGTCCCGTAGAATTGTAACAGGTCCTATCTCCATAACCGGGTCTGGGTGGTGTTCATACCAGTTTCTTTCAGTTTCCTTTCCGTAGAAGTTGCAGATTTTCCAGTGCAGATATTGGCCCACTCTGTCATGTCGGGTTTTATATTCAGTGGGTGCCAACATTGTGCAACCTGATACAAGATGATCAATCGTTTCTGGATATTTATCACAGAATCTGCATTTTGGGCTGACACAATATTTTAGTATATGTGCTTGATAATTCCTAGTTGTGAAAGCATTGGTCCTGCGCAGCAAGGATAAAACCTTCAGTTTCCGCTTTCAACCCTGCACTACGTAGCCACTGATGGGTACAGGTTTTGTCTACGTCAGCTTGTTTTGGTACGGGCAGAGTATTGGCCATGAAGCGGTTGATCTTGCCATCGCTTCTCTATCTGGTCGGTTGCATTCGTCTTTGCTGTCTTTTTTAGGTATTTTGAAGTTTCAGTCGGTGTATTGTGCTGTAGTTGCATCTCTACGCCCATTTGAAACACCATTTTGAATTTGTTGGCTTCTTTCATTACGGAATAAAGACGCTTACTACTTTCATGTTCCTTGACGCATACCATCATCCAGTCTTCTGTAGTTTCCAAATATCTTTGGAGGCCAATTGTTGTAGTTTTGTAGTTGAACTAATCTTCTGCCTCCTTCTGATCTGGGCACATACAGACGATCAACATCAGCTTTGGGATGATGCATGCGATAGCAAGTGAGAAGCTTTCTCGTTTTGGCGTCCATTTGCTTAATTTCAGCTATGGTCCAGTTAAGGACATTAAAGCTGTATTGCACCACAGGGACAGCCAAGGTGTTTATGGCTGATATTCTGTTTTTTGAGTTTAGCTCAGTATTTAGTACCAGACGTACACGCCTGTAGTACTCTTTTCTTATTTTTTCTTCCATTTGGGGGTGTTGTATGCCATCTCCTTTGCTAATTCCTAGGTACTTATAAGATTCATCATGCTTATTATTATTATTATTATTTCCTGTCGTATATTCATTTTCTTCCGGGTCCCAACCAGAGACCTAATACCAGTAATGGCATCATGACATTTTCCACTGAGCATTTCTGTAAAATAAATAAATAAATAGATAAAGCCATTCGTAAGGTCTGAGCTGTACTTGTGAATACATATTTTTGGGGTATTTCTTTAAGGCATGTCCTCCAACTACAACTGGAATTATCGAATCACCTAATGTGCTATATTTTTGAGATTTCTACTTCTACGAGATTCTTGTATTTTGATAGTTCTTTGAAGATCTTCAAATACACATTGCAGTCTGTAGGAACTGACAGCCATTTCAATAAAGAGGTCTTTGAGGTTTCTAATAATGATGTCTGGACGATTAGCTCTGATTCTCCTGTCTGTAGAAAATCCCATAAAATTGTTACAGGTCCTATCTCCGTTACCGGATCTGGGTGGTGTTCATACCGATTTCTTTCACTTTCCTTTCCGTAGAAGTTGCAGATTTTCCAATGCAGATATTGGCCCACGCTGTCATGCCGGGTTTTATATTCAATGGGTGCCAATACCACGCAACCTGATATAAGATGATCAATTGTTTCTGGATATTTATCAGAGAATCTGCATTTTGGGCTCACACAATTTTTCAATGTGTGCTTCATAATTTTTAGTTAGCAAACATTGGTCCTGTGCACCAAGAATTTATTATTATTATTATTTTCTTTGATTTCTGGCGTTTACACATTTCTTTCTGGGTCCGGCCCAGGGACCTAAGGTTAGAAATGGCACCATGATACTTTCCACTGATAAAAAAATAAAATTACATAGATAAAGCCCTTCGTAAAGTGTGGGCTGTACTTTTGTGAACAATTTTTTGTATCTCTTTGAGGCATGGACTTCCAGGAATCCCTTCAATTAGTCTACTGCAATCTTTTCCAACCAAACCTAGGGCTCCAACTACAACAGGGATTGTTGATGTTCCTATTATTCACTTTTTCTTTTCTTTTTGGAGGTATTTAATTTTATGAAAAGCTCAACAAAAAAAAATTATAGAATGTGGAATCTTTAAAACTCAACATCTAATTTTGACCCCGTCCCACCAACTTTTAAATTCTGATTTAGCACCACCAAGTTTTTATTTTGTGGCATCGTACCTTTGAGATAATCACTGGCGTCGTATGTGAAATATTTCAGTTATTTAAAAAGTTTTGATTACCAAAAAACATTATAATTTAATTCAAAGGCTACTAAAATACTTTTTGTTATACTGGAACACAACTATTCTATTGTTAATAGACTCTACCACCTATAATAAGTAGGAGTAGTAAGAGTAACGAGTGAGTCGCTCAGTGGGTTTGGTCAGTCAGTCGATGTCGGACGACCGTTAGTCGGATACTAAAGTATCAGCGACCACCACGAGATTTCTCTGCGTCATTACCTATTATATCAAGTTCCTAACGTTTTGTACGTCGAACCTATTTTAGGACCGACTTAGTGAAATACAAGCCTCCACTGTGAAACAACTCTACAACACTTTTATGTACTTTAACCAATGTGAGTACATTTATTATTTGTGTTTAAATTCCATGCAAGCATTTCATATATTAGATTGGTTGGTTGATTTTGCTTAACGGCATATCAACACCTCTATGGGTTATTTAATGCCTAAATCTAAATATTTTGTACATAATCTTATACTTTCAGAGTAAGGCTATGTTTTTAGATATATATTTTATAGATTATAAACTGTATTGTTGGTAATTTTACTATATATTTTTTTTATTTTATTTTTTGTGTTGCATTCATTGTCATTTTCATATAAAAATGTATTGTTGCTCATTGTATTATAAAAAGATACTGTTGATCTTTGGTTGGGGCTTTACTATTTATCCATAGCTGGGACCCTAACAGGTGCTACCACCCCAGGTCAGGGTGGATCTGGGAACAACAGCAACTGCCATTCTCCCGATCAGAGACCTTGCTGCCAGATGTAGTTTATCGTCATACCCAGGACGATTGATACGTTAGAAGCGGATTATAGACAACACAAGTCCTCAGTTGGTCATCACCAATGATTAGTGCCTGTCCTTTAAAAAATACATCTTTGAGTAACCTATTAATAATTGAAAACATCACGGTTACTAACAGAGATGTTGCTTTTACGATCAACTATTATTGTTTCTATTTCAATTAATACAGTAATGAAGTTTTATAATCAGCATTTTACTTTCATCATATTACTTTCACTCGTTTCTATTGTAAGTATACTATTTTAAAGACTATGTTTATTTAGCATGAATTTGAGTAATTCTTGCAATATAAAGGGCATTAATCGTCTGCCAAGGAAAGTAATGCTTCCTATTTTATCAACTTGGACGTTGGTGGTATGGCTGTAGAGATTAAACTTATCCACCAATAACCCATAATTTGTTTCCGATCTGACTAAGTGTCAAACTGGTAAAATGGTATCTGACAGAAATGTGCATACATAGTAGAGGTGTATCAGTGAATTCTTATATATGAAAAACTTACACCCGTTGAAACTCATTGAAGTTTTGCTGAACGCTGTCGGAGACCAAACAGCGAAAGTGAGCATAGTTATGAGTAATATGTTTCAGCAGTGGTGCCAAGCCACAATCTGTGTGTCCTGGCACAACTGTCGAAGAATGAAATCAACCTTCTTGTCCATCGCTTGTGAAAATGCATAGCGAGTGTCGAGGAATAGTGTTTTGTAGCTGAAAATTTGTTCTATCCAAAAGTGTCCGTGTGTTACCGGAATCTCTGGTAATTTTCATGTAAGTAAATAGTAGGTACTATTCCCGAAGCGCTTTGAGATAGAAGGTGAAGATTGACATATTGTGATAGATAGATAGATAGATAGATAGATAGATAGATAGATAGATAGATAGATAGATAGATATGAACAGAATGAGATAGATAGATATGAACAGAATGAGATAGATAGATAGATAGATAGATAGATAGATAGATAGATAGATAGATAGATAGATAGATTTTTTTCCAAAAATGTATTGCTGGTAATATTTTTTTCAAAAATGTATTGCTGGTAATATTTTTTTTACCAAAAATATATTGCTGGTAATATTTTTTTTTTCAAAAATGTATTGCTGGTAATATTATTTTTTTCCCAAAATGTATTGCTGGTAATATTTTTTTTGCAAAAATGTATTGCTGGTAATATTATTTTTTTTTTAAAAAAGAAATGCTGGTAATATATTTTTTAACAAAAATGTATTGCTAGTAATGTTTTTTTTTTTTTTTTTTAATTTATTGATGGTAATTTCTTTTTTCAAAAACGTATTGCTGGTAATATTTTTCCCAAATATTTATTGCTGGTAATGTTTTTTTCAAAAATGTATTGCTGGTAATTTTTTTTCAAAAATATATTACCAGTAATATTCTTTTTTCAAAAATGTATTGCTGCTGATAATGTACTGCTGGTAATAATTTTTTTCTTCAAAAATGAATTGCTGGTAATAATTTTTTTGCAAAAATGAATTGCTGGTACTAACACCTATTTTTACACTTTCATAGTGTTTGATCCTTGTTTTGGGGTTAACTAGTTGCCCATAGCTGGGACCCTAACAGGTGCTACCACACCGGGTCAGTTTTTACCCTGAAAACACCAGCAATTAAGAGGTGATTCCACGCTCTTCAAAACCTCTTGATCAGAGGCCTTACAGCTGGATGTAATTTATCATCTTACCTGGACGCAAAAAAAAAAAAAAAAAAAACTTATTTACGAATGCGTTTCGTCTTTGAGGAACTTTATCAGGGGAAGGGGCGAAACGTTTTGTTGAAATAAAATCTTCCTTTTGTCTTTTATTTCATTCCTGTTTGAGTTTTTGCATAAAAATTGTTTAGCAAAATACAATTCATTAAAAAAAATTTCATCTATATAATAAATGCGAATGGCAGTGTCATACTTTTTTCAATTAAACGGACACAACTCTCTAACTTTCAATAGCTCATGTTACAGAAATTTTGTTTTCCCATTGTTTTCGGTGGGTTTTTTAACGTGGTTTTTTGCGACGAATTCTTTTGTATGATAACAATTTTTATAACATGGAAATAAATTTAGGAATAATTGAAATTGATTGCGAAAGCCGGCGAAAGTCATCCATGAAATTAAAATAATTTTTGTACGGAAAGTAAGGACCTACATACATCAAATTGTCTTTAAATTAAGTGGCGACAGAAGAATTATCGTTGATAAGCTTAAATATTAATGCAATAGTTTATTATGTTTGCCTATCGCATACGGCAACAGTAGGCCTCTCTAAAAGAAATCTCCGCCAACAGAGGACCAGATTGCAATCAAAAGAGCCAAGACTACAACGGGGAAAAGAAAGCCCCATGCAAATGAAAATCCATGTGAAACGACAGCCAGGGGAGCTTCCAATGGTGAGAATATACAAAAACTTAGGGACTTTCAAACTCCTGAACAAGACAAAGGCGGAATTGAGAGACCCGAGAGGGCGGCTTTTGAGCTAGTTTTACTATCAACCCAACCAGTGAATGAATGCAAAGTGAAGAAGAAGACCATATCCGAAAGTTTGGAAAATGTTTTTAAATTTAATTGATATCCTGTACCAGGATTTGTTCAGGCAAAAGATTAAGCGCAAATACATCTTAGCCAGTTCACTTAGTTAATATTAGAGTGCAAACATGCGTCCGTAGATTTGTGCTGAGTGTACTGAAAAATTGTTTGGGAGGTTGGGCCTGTGCGTCTGGGACGACTATATGTAGATATTTTTTATTCTTAACGGATATGTTTCTTGCTCAATTCACCCCAAGCAAGGCGATAATGCTACTAAGGCCCAAGGAGCTACTGGAAGTGAAAGAGAATAAAAAAGACATTTCAAGGAACATGAAAGCTAATCCTAAACAGGAAACAAGGGAAAATATCGACTCCCATTCAAAAGACTTGGGAGGAGTGTGAACAGGACCATAGGCGAATCTATCTACTCCAATTGAGGGAAAAAATAGTAAATAAAATTTCAGAGGTTAGGTGAAGACGTTAGAAGTCTAGAGTGGAAGCAGAAGTTAGAAGAAACCAGAAATGAAATTCCAAACAAGGGATAACCCTCTACTCCTGTTCAAAAACTGGGGAGGCGTGAGAACCGAACGATAACATGTCTTTCGGGCTTATGGCACCTGTTTGTACGTCTGTCTGCATGAAATATGCGGACGTATGTATGGCCTTGTTCTGAGGTTTCATTTTCAGTGCAAAATGTGTGCTATATATATATATATATATATATATATATATATATATGGGGGAGAGAGAAGAGGGAGAGAGTACTAATGAGTATACGTCAAATTGCTAACGTGCGCGTCAAGAACTGTTACTTTTGTGTCTGCTGAGTATATATGTAGGTGTCCGTATAAAGGTGCGTATGCATGTGTTAGTGTGCATGGATATGTGTTCGTATGTGTGTGGATAGCTAGCTAGATGGATAACGTCTGAGATAGATAGATAGATAGATAGATAGATAGATAGATAGATAACGTACTGAGAAAGATATAAGGATATAGAATAGACTGAGATAATGAGAGACTTAACAAAATGAAATTATAAAACTACAACTTTTATATATACACAAACACCCGCGTATATATATATATATATATATATATATATATATATATATATATATATATAAACAGGATGTATCAAAATATTTTACAAACTTTTTGAGGCGTGTTTCTGATACTAAAACAAGGTAAAATGTTCACATAATCATATGCCCAAAAGAATTATCGGCAAAAGTTCTTCTTTGATGGGTGATCAGAATGCGAAAGCCCCTGCACGTGTTGCAAATGATACAGATACAGGAGCTACTCTTCAGTACAACCCCACCCCTATGCGGTACTCTGAGATGCTAGACATGCTAGGGCCACTCGATGGGTGCTGATAACTGGCTCGTCAGCGACAGCCTACAGTTAATGGGTTCTTCGCGGCCTGGCGTACGAGCGGATCTTGTTTGTGGATTGGTTCAACCACGCGACGATAAACAGCAGCAAAGGCTGGATGACTCGGCTGCTTTTAGTATGGAAATGCAATCTGATACAGCCGTGCAGCCTCGCGTCCATTACCATTCGCGCGGCCGTGTGTAAAAACCATATATGCCTGCTCACGATATGAATATTCTACCATTTGTTAAACTGGACTCTTCTCAGTTAACTCACTACTACACACGTTAATGGTGAAGACAAACTGGTCACAAATGTACACGAATGACAAATGTAACCTAGTCTACGTGGCAACACAGTGCCATCTACCGTAAACTTTCTTTAAATTTAATAACTCAAAAACGAAAGGTTTGTGGATATATATTTATATGAACTTTTGTCCTTGTTTTGCTGTGAGGGACACCCCCCGCAAAGTTTGTAAAATTATTTTTTATACACCCTATTAATATATATATGTATACAGTGTGATTGAAAAGTAACTCCTTATTTTATGTATGAGTGGCCAGCCAGGAGTCCTGACTTAACACCCTGTGACTTTTTCCTTTGGGGTTGGTTAAAGAAGAAAGAAACCAAGACTTTGGAAGAACTTAAGGTTATGGTCTTCCATACCAGAAGAGTTCTGGTGAAATCAGTTCACGTGATTCCCGGGCCGCTCGAGAAGCTGGAAGTTAAATCTGGTGCCCATATTGAATTTTAATTAAAAACTCTGGCTAAACCTCTTTCCACTCATATCCATTTCTTGTAAAAATTATAATTATTTTAAAATGCGGAGTTACTTTTTGATGTAATGAATACGCATACACTTGGGTTCCCCCTCACAGTAATATGGTTGGCTGGTGTCAGCCATAAATACAGACTGATGTGGAGGTACAGGAAGACGCCTATTGCCTACGCCTATTGCCTACCACTACGATGAGGAACAGTCCATTACGGTTACCTGCTAGATTTTCCTACTCAGTTACAATAGTCCAAAACCACTTTGCTACTTCGAACAAATATATCCCTTTCTGGGACGTATCACTTTTTTCAATTACAATATATATATATATATATATATATATATATATATATATATATATATATATAATCATTTATTCGAAAATTGTAACATAAATATGTTATAAAATCACTACAAAAATAGCCATTTAAAATCAAATTATTTACTTAAATTATTTTAAAATAAAATCACTACAAAAATAGCCATTTTGTTTCAACACTTCTGGTGTCTTATCACGTGACATTGATAAGACACCAGAAGTGTTGAAACAAAATGGCTATTTTTGTAGTGATTTTATAACATATTTATGCTATAATTTTCGAATAAATAATTATATTTCTCTACTCTGTATTGAGCACTCTCTTAAGAATAGTATTTGTTAGTTATTGGAATTTATTCCGTATGCACCATTCCATTACTTGGATATATATATATATATATATGCACGTATTTCTTTCTGTTTAAAGAGATAGAGTGAGGAGAATCGGGTTCAAGAAGTGTGTCCTGACCAGTTTTTTTTGTTTTTTTCGTGTATGTTGCACTCTGTGACCGCTTTCCGCAGAGCGTAAATAAATAGCCTCAGGGCTTCAAAAAAAAAAAAAATAAAAATAAAAATCAAAACAACAACAAAATGTATCTCCTTCCCATTTATCAAACCCCATCAATTCCAGATCAAAAACTACTTTCCATTGCTTGGGTTTCGCCAAAAACTGGAAAAAAATGCTTTATCGAAAAATGTTTTATCGAAACTTGTAAAATGACGACTTTTTTTTAATAATCTGAACAGTTTTTGTAGTTAGTTTAAGAAATCAAAATCTTAAGGGGTTCTACTCTTATATACGATTGATTACATTCATGTAGCTTATTTGTAAAACGTGGATACGTCACTGACCGAAGCAGCAGGCTTTAAAAATTAATATACCAACCAACCAAGCAAGGCCGTCCATGTTCATAGTTTCACTGTGAACTCCATGTTATCTGCATATAGTATGTGCTTCGTCAGGGCTATATACGGCTTTTTAATTCACAGTTATCTTTCTCTTAAACTAGTTTCCAACCAAGACTGAAAAGTCAAGTCTTTTCTAATGTTTGCCCCATAGCTGGAGCAAGAACGAACGAGATGGATTCATATTTTTACAAAAGGCATTTGCCATAAGTTAATGGAACTAACACGACCTTTTTTCTGACTGAAAAACCCCTTCTCTTAAACTAAGACAATCAAATGAAATTTCGTTCAGTGTCTAAATTTGACTTATTGACATCTGCACACTATTTTGAACATCTTAACATATCAATGAAATTTCGTTCAATGTCTTAATTTGACTTAACATCTGGACACTATTTTAATATCTTTAAATATCTTAAAACTGTTTTTCAGAAATAAGACTTTACTATAGTCAAATCATTTTGTATGGATTTCTATATTAAAATCATTTCCAATGCATTCCTATGACAGTAGTAAGGGTGAGATTGACCGTTTCCATACAGGAAACATTCGGCTTTCATTAATCGAAGAGTTAGCTTTACTCTCGGTTGAAATTTATAAATACTTTCTCTTAAATTATTTTTCGGAAATTAGACTTTACTATAGTTAAATCATTTTGAATGGATTCCTATATTAAAATCATTTCCAATGCATTCCTATGACAATGTTTAGGGTGAGATTGACCGTTTTCACAAAGGAAACATTTGGCCTTCATTGACTAAACAGTTAGTGTTACTGTCAGTTGGAATTTATAAATTCTTTCTCTTAAAACTTTTTTTTTATTTTCTCAATAAAATAAGCTTTTCAATTTCGCTGTTATCACTCTTTCTTAGTATTAATGACAGTTTCTTTCCAAACCTTTTATTTTATTAATGTGATAAGTTATTATTTTCTCTCGGAGTTACATATGCTCCCGATTTTAGTTATTCTTGTTTTTGATAGTCTTCAACTGATATAGATGTCATGAATGACATCCACCTGAAAGTCTTTATCAGACGAGATAAAGAAGATAACTCGAATACTTACGTTAATATTTTCGTTTTATAGCTGTATTAGACAAAACTAACCCGAGAGTAGCCTAGTCTCTCTTTCTTATCCTCTATACTAAATTGATTATAACTGATCCATACTCCGAAAGATTTGAAGTGTTTCGTATTTATTAATTTCATATTCTGGATTTTATGGATTTAGGGTATATGCCATTCCTGCTTTACTTTCAGTTCCAGATTACAGTTCCTGCTTTGGATAGGTTTATCGTAAGTCCTACTTCGTGGAACAGAGGACAGTCAGGTTCCATTCGCTTGAAGGCATTTTTAATCATTGATCTGAGAAAACGGCTGATTTTAGCTGACAGTTTAGACATGTCTAAAGCACTTGGTTGCCATGTATGACATCCACATAAGAGTCTACATCTGATAAATTGATTTAAGGACATGACACGATTTCCTAGGTTAGTGTTTTGGTTTTGTGGCATCGGGTGGTACTCGACAACTCGACGCCTAAAATTTCCTATCTTGTGTTCAGTTTTCTTATACCTTATACTACATTTGTATGGGTTTATTTGAAGTATTTAGTATCTGTTTAGTATTTATATGACTACTAAATCCCAGTACTTGTATCTTTGTCTACCACAGATTCTGGTTTGTGTATATACCATTGATCTTTATAGTCGTTGGTACAGTTCCTACATGCCTACTCTTGTATTCTTTATAGGCTAATTTTATAAATTCGTTTACTGTGTAGTTGATTATAACCTTTTTATTTCCACACACTCTACATTTGCCGTTTTTTTCCTGTGTTTCATCTAGCCCTGATATTTATATATTTCATTCTTATGAAGTTTTTTCAGCTGCTTTAAAAGAAATTCTGTTTCTCTCTTTATATTTCCTCTGCGTAACCATATTGATTTATTTGCTATTCTCTTGATTTGTATTCTAAAGTGCCCATATAATTGTTCTTCTTCAATTTCTGAGCTCCTGAATTAATGTTTGCAGGTTTTCAGCTTTCTGTTAATTTTAGCGTAGCTTTCGGCCTTTCCATTTTCTGTGTTCTTTGCTCTTCCATACCTTTGATTGATACGTTCCTAGGTATTGACTAACATTCTTTCTTCTTTTCTCTTAACATAGAGCCTGTTGACATAGTCTCACGCATGTACAGCCTTATGTATTATCATCGGTTTACTTGTTTTTTTGATCCGGTTCATTTAAGTTCATTGTTCTTTGTAAGAAGGATCCGGAGTAACTCAGGATGAAAAATACCCAAGTATATATTCCTTTAATTAACTTGCATCATTTACATTATTCAGACTATTATCCTCATCTTCATTGCCATATTCACAACGTTTCAACTGTTTTACGCTCCGGCCTTCTTCAGGTGATTGGAATTTTGAACCGGACCCTTTATTTCGTCCACCGGGGTAGATGGTTCTAGTTCCACGTGCCATGCCTCTTCCGGATGTCTCAGTTATTTCCTTTTAACTCAACTTTCCAAGTTTTTGGTTTTGGCCTGGTATTGAACTCACAACTCTTTGGGTCTAATCACTGGATCTAAACAACAGGTCAATCCATTGGGCCATGTGAACTTTAATTAAGTTTCTGTTGTAGAGTTTAGTCACTAATATTTGTCTTGTTCTTCTGATATATTCTATTTCTTCAACGGTTTTTGCTTAAAGATGTTATCTAAAAACAAAAAAAAACTACGTACTCTTTGCTTTCCTTTCAGTTGAGCGTTTTGATGGCTTCCTTGTTGGATATTTCAATTGCCTTCCCTTTTACACCTTATCAGCCTTCCACATTTTCCATGTCCGATTCACTTCATATATCTGAAAACTCTAAACATTTGGATAGGGGTTTTCAGCTTGTTAGTTATTATTATTATTATTATTATTATTATTATTATTATTATTATTATTTTTGTAGAACCTTCACAACAAAGCGCGACAAATCACTAGCAATAAAATGTGTTTCAGTTTAAGTGCACATGTTTCAAAATGCCTTTTAGCTGTAAGATTATTTTGGCCAGGTAGTGTTTAAACATCTATCGCATGAAAGCATGAGAAGCCATGTTTATTTCAAACTCTGATCTGTTAACAACATAAACACTAAACTCGTTATCTTTCTACCTTCTTTCCATGAAAATTATCAACTATGTTCAAAAATGCTAAGAATCTGGACATCAAAGGGTTTATTCGACGCATTTGGACTTACTATTAGCATAAAGAAAACGGAGGCTATCCACCAGCCGCCTCCTTGTCCAAAGCAGATCTGGGGTGTCAGACAACTGCCAACAGTTCATCAATTCCTAGACACTCCTATATAAATTGATGGGAAGAACTTTGATATAAAGTCATTTACATATTTAGGAGGCAAGATGAATGCAAATGGATCCCTTGATGACGAAAGGAAAAATCTGATCACCAAAGATACAAATGCATTTAGGAAGCTTCACCACTGCCTATGGAAGGAGAAAGGTATCAACATGTAAACCAAAATACAGGTTTATAGAGCGGCGATTTTGACTGCACTGTTGTACAGCTAAGAATCATATAGGTTCCATAGCAATTAGCCGAATGTCGCCCACAATAGTTGTCTCCATGCGATCTGTGGCTATACTGTTGAAGATAGGCTATGCCTGATGAAGTTACAAATTCGCTGGGATGGTGATGTTGCAAGGTTGAGTGACGACAGAATACATAAGGTCCTCATGGATAGCCAGCTTGACAGTGGACAAGTGAATGTTGCACAGCCTTGGCTCAGGTACAAAGACAAGCTCAGTAGTAACCTCTCAGCTGTCAATGTGCCTCATACTAACTTCAGGCGAGTTGCCCTGGATAGAAATAACTGGCGATATTTGTGCCAGAGGGGCATCGGAAATTACGAAATCAGTCGTATTGATCGGCTAAGAGACGAAAGACAACGGCAAAAAGCATCAGCAAACATTCCTATGGATATGTTCCGAGATCCTCTCTGTTGCACAATATGTGGACTTGTATGCAGATCACTAGAAGGGACTAAAGTGTCACATACACCACAAACCTACGACAAACAATAAAATCTGATATATATATATATATATATATATATATATATATATATATATATATATATATATATATATATATATATATATATATATATTATATATATATATATATATATATATATATATATATATATATATATATATATACAATATAATTGTATTATAATTGTATAATATATATTGTATATTATATACAATATATATTATATACAATATATATATATAATGTATAATATATATACATATATATATATATATATATATATATATATATATATATATATAAATATACATATATATATATTACATATGAGCACTTTCTAATAAGTATGTATATAATATATAATAATTATACATATATATATTTATTTATATTTATATACACACTTTCACACACACACACATATATATATATATATATATATATATATATATATATATATATATATATATATATATATATATATATATACAGGGTGTCCATAAAGTTCGTGTGCACTTTAAAAAAATTATAACTTCATTTGTATTTGCGGGATAGAAATAATTTGTAAAAAAGGATTAGAAAGAAGTAAATCTATATTTTTTTAAGGTTTTATTGAAATTTTATTTAAGTTTCCACATGTCCTCCATCATTAGCAATACAAAGGTTAATACGATTTTGCAGTTCACGGAAAACATTTGCCAACTGATTTACAGTAATGCCTGAAATCGCATTAGTTATTTTAGTTATACTTAAAACTAGGTACATTAAACTTTATAACATTTATACACATTATTTCTATCGCAAATACAAATAATAATTGATAATTTTTTAAAGTGCACACGAACTTTATGGACACCTTATGTATATATATATATATATATATATATATATATATATATATATATATATATATATAGGGGGTGCTATGTTGATATATTAAATAGCAAGCACTACAGGGGTAGCCTAAAATTCTGTAACTTTCCAAAATCTTTACTGTGTTCCCACGGGTCAACTAAATAAAAAGTATGAAAATACGTACATCGAAAGACTCGCTAAAAATGAGCATATCGTGATGATAAAATGCCCTAAACTTAATAAAAAAAAATGTTTTATCATCAAAATCTTTATACTATTAGGAGGAAAGATCAAATGATTTTTAATTATTATTAAAGAAAGAAGGCCGTTTAAATCGTAAAAGGACAGAAAGAAAATTAAAATAGAAAGAAAGAAGCAAAACATTATAGGTAAAGAAAAATGAAGAAAATAGAGAAAAAGAAAAAAATGAGAGGCAAGAAGAAAAGAAAATAGTTCAAAGAAGGAGAAAAGTAATTTAGAAAAGGAGAAGCTAAAGAGAAAGGTCAGAAATAAAGGAGGAGAGAAAAAAGAAAAGGGGAGAATGGAAAGGAGAAAGTGAAAACGGCAAATAGAAAGAGAAATGAAAACTCTAGATAGAGAAAGAGAAGGAGAAAAAGAAAAAGGTTCTAAAAACAAAGCAAGAAAGGAAAAAGAAAGAAACGGAGAAGGCAGAGAAAGAGAAACAGAAAAGAGAATAGAAAAAAATGAAAAAAAAGAAATCAGAGGAAAAGCAAAAACATAATAAAGACGTGAAAGAGACAAAGGAAAGAAAGTAAATGAAAATAAATGAAGGAAGTGATCATTGCCTGACTAATTACAATGACCAAAGTCATTCTTCACTAATGAGGCCGACATGATTATCTGCCTTTGCATTTTTACGTAACATTGTCTCCTAATGATAGAAAGTAAAAAATGCGATCAATTAAAACAAAAATATCTATCTGTATTCAAAACGGATAAACGAATATTTCAACGACAAAGTTTATTTGTTGCTTTATTTGAAGATGGCACGTTCTGACTTCCATTATAAGCTTCTTCTTCTAATTCTTCTTACTATTCATCGCCGTTGTCCTAAATATTGCCAAATCTTTTTTATTTCTCCTTAAGCCTTATGAATGGTAGAGTTGTCATCTTTTCCTGATATTTCTTTCTTTCTTTCTTTCTTTCTTTCTTTCTTTCTTTCTTTCTTTCTTTCTTCTTTTTCTTGACTTCTTCTTCTTGCCTTGTCTCGGTCTTCTCCTCCTTTTCCTCCTCCTCTTCTATCTGTTTGGTCTTCTTCTTTTTCTTCTTCTACTTCATCGTCGTCGTCGATGGAGACATTGTCAACTTTCTCACAAGTTATCATCTATTTCTTCCTATTCCTCCTCCTCTTCTTTCTCATCATAAGACATAATGTAATATTCTCCCTCTTCTTCTTTTTCTTATAAAGGGTTCGGTTCGAATTTCAAACGTATATCATCGGAAGAAGGTCGGATCGTACAACGGCCGAAACGTCTTGAATATGGTGAGGAGAGCAGCCCGAACGATGTAAATAGTGCTAATACTTACAATACCTCATCCCAGAAATATAGACAGATATTGTAATATTTGTTTTATTTTTTTGGTGGAGGTGGGTGGGATTCTTCCGTTTATTTCACTGGTGCTTCTTTCTTTCTTTCTTTCTTTCTTTCTTTCTTTCTTTCTTGTTTTGGTTTTTTTCTTCCTCGTAGTCATCAGCGCACCAGCATGCCCCTCCTCCTCCACTTCTCATCATCATCATCATCGTCACCATCACCACCACCATCACCACCACCGTCACCATCACCATCATCATCACCATCACCATCACCACCACCATCACTATCATCATCATCCCTTTTCTTCTTCATGCCGTTTATTTTCCTCTTTAATATCTTTTTCCCAGATCTTATTTTACGTAATCTAATAATCGTGGTAATGTTCACAAAGCATCACACACACACACACACACACACACACATACATATATATATATATATATATATATATATATATATATATATATATATTTATATATATATATATTTTTTTAATGCACAATACGATGCAGAGAAAGAAGACAATAGGAAATTCGTGAATAAAACAGTGGCAAATGACCAAAGCATTGTCTGTCCTGCAAATGCATTGGACTAATTGGCGTCTGTAGCAACAAACAAATAAAACTTCACCAAAGGCAACAACTTCAAAACAATGCCGGTTGCTGGAAAACAAGTAAGAAGTTTATTAAAGCTAAAGAATGCTTACACCTTTCATCTTTTGTAGTCGACATGGTCGGATGTGACTTCCTGGAGGATATAACTGTGTTGCTACACAAACTACATCTTCTTATACAATGCATAAAGTAGTTTCAATTAAGTTGATTGCTCCGGACTGGTCTTAAAATAACAAAGAAAGAGAAAATATTAAAATAATAGGGATATCAATAAACTACCTCTTGTAAAAAATTATTTTGTGTAAGTTTTGAAAAAAAAGGAATGTTACTTTTGTAGTCGGGTTAAGCGATAGTGTGTTCATCTTGGCGTATAGATATTTATCCCCAAACAATCAGTACAATTTTTTTTTTTTTTTTTTTGCGTTCATGACATGTCCAGATCGGTGTCATTGTTTTCCATTCTCCTCTGTGGGAAAGTTCCCGTTGACAGCAATGAACAATGCTTTATGGATTCCAGCATAACATCCTTTTCGTCACAACGATTTTTCTCTTTATTCATGCCTATAATTGAAACATTTTCTTATTGTTTTCATGCCTTTTTAATTCGCTCCTATTTGCGGAAATCAAAAGAAATACAAAAATACATATCTGCTGCGTCGACGCGCGTATATATTCATATCGGTGCCCATAGGACTTTTTATACGTGCGTGAGCGTGCACGCGTGTACGTGTCTGTGTTCATTTGAGTGTATCTATACGTTTGTGAATGTATTTTCATACGAATTTCAATATGTATGTATTTGTGTGAATATCTGGATATATGCTTGCATATCCGTAAATCTGTAAGAACATTCTCCCAGGTGGCTCTCCACTTCCTCGGGTTTAGGGGTTCAGGAGCCCGCGAAACTGGAAGGAGTGCAAAAACTACCCTGAAGCCAAATGCTTAATGCTCTTGACCGTAATTGTAACTTAAAAACTTCAACAGATAAAATCATATATATATATGCATGCATACATACATACATATATATATATATATATATATATATATATATATATATATATATATATATATATATATCAGGTCATCCCATAAGTTCTGTCCGAATTTTGAATAAAGAAAACAAGTGACCAAATGTTACATTTAATTACAGATTCAATCAACAATGTATTTTCCCTGATTATCTGACTTCCTTCCATCTATTAACATGTTTATTAATTCCATTACTGTAAAATTCTTTTTTTGGCTTTTGATTCGAAGAACTCACAAATGTCAGTTTTAATCTCTTCCTGTGTTACAAAAGCTGTTTCTTCAAATGATTCTGTAAGCTACGAAACAAATGGTAGTCTGAAAGAGCAAGATCGGGGAGAATAAGGTGGTTGAGGAATTTTCTCCCAACCAAGTTCTTCGATCTTTTTGTGACGTGATTCTTGCTGTGTGGGGTCGTACATTGTCCTGATGAAACATCAGCTCTTTTTCGATTCACTAGAGCAGGTCTTTTTTTGCCTCAAAGTTTGGTTCAAACGCTATAATTTCTGACAGTATATTTGAGCATTAATTGTTGCATTAGGTGGTAAGAATTCAAAGTGGATTATTCTTGGCGATCCCACCAGATTGAAAGAAGAACCTTTTGCCCATGAAGTTCCTTCTCGGCTGTGGCTGGGGTCCTTCCTCTTTTACCAAGCCACTGTCTACGACGCTTAACATTTCGATAAAGATCCATTTTTCGTCGCCAGTCACAAGTCTATCCAAAAAAGTTGAAACAATTTGAGAGAAGAGCAGATGTCAACTCGGGGTTTGAGGTTGTTTTTAGACAATCCATTGGCACCCATTTTCCAAGTTTAGGAACTTTTTCAAGTTGTTGAAGATGACGATGAACATTTGTATGGTTTGAACTGAGAACCACTGCCAATTGCTCAACTGATAAAGCAAGATTTTCTTCAAGGGCTGCTTCAAGAAGATTTTCATCAAACTCAACTGGACGTCCGGTTCGATCTTCATCTTCAAGGATGAAATCTCACTTTTGAATTTTGCAAACCATCTTCTGCAAGTTCTTTCATTCACACATTCCTCTCCATTAACTGAGTGAATGTTTTAGCCGCTTGGCTGCTGAGTTTCCTTTCTTGAACTCATAAAGCATTATGTGCCTCAAATGATTCTTGGGTACTTCCATGTTAGCAGGGTTTTAATCAAACAAAATTTAATTTTATTGTTCTCTGAAATAAAATTTGATCAGTTTAAATGCATCTAAACATAAAAATAATGTTATAAAATACTCTTTAAATTTCGTTCATTTTAAAAAAAGGTACCAAGGATCGAAGGATAGAGCGTATATATATATATATATATATATATATATATATATATATATATATATATATATATATATATATATATATATGTATGTATATATATATATGTATATATATATATATATATATATATATATATATATATATATATATGTATGTATATAAATATATATATATATATATATATATGTATGTATATATATATATATGTATGTATATATATATATATCTATATATATATATCTATATATATATATATATATATATATATATATATATATATATATATATATATATATATAATGATAGATATATATATATATATATATATATATATATATATATATATATATATACACGTATATATAAAAGTGTATGTATATTACAAACAGAATTATTCAACCTCCTTCCATAATCTATATATATAAAATTGTAGCCTATGTCTGCTCTGTTTGTTATCAAACTCCTCCTAGAGTTTTGAAGATAGACCCCATAACCTCATATATTCTGAAACTACATTGCCCAGAGTATTTGGATAAGTATATTTCATTTTGAACAAAGGATGTTCCCGGCGAAGAGGGCATCAACCCTCCCACTGATTTTTTTTCCCTTTGATAAAAATTTTTAATTTAAGTTTGAACAAGAGAATGTTTCCTAGGGTACTTGGATAAGTATATTTCATTTTGATCAATGTGGATCTCCGGCCGGGGAACAACATCTCACCCCCCCCCACACACACACACTGATTTTCTTTTCCATTTGATTTAAATTAAATTCAAATTTGAACTCGGGAATGACTCCAATCCATAATATAGAAAGCGAAAGCCAGAAGATGAAGGTCACATCGGCAAGATCAATTTGATCAAAGGAGGTACTTGAGAGGCACATCCTTGGCAATAGCTTCCTCTAAATCCGAAGGACTTCTTTCTCTTACTTTTTTCTTCAAATATGAGTTTACTTGAGGACTTTGGGGCCATACCTTAAATTTGCTGCCATCTAAGTATTTTGTAACAATTAGTGTCGTGTGTTTCGGGCCATTATCATGTTAGAACGTCCAGTGACGCCCCAAAGACAGCTTTCGTGCATTTTGCTTTATATTATTTTTAAGAATAACCAAATATTTCCCTTTATCCATGATACCCTGGACTCTCAAAAGTTCTCCTGGTCCAGAAGCAGCAAAATATCCCAGAGCAGAATGCTCCCACCGCCCTGCGTAATTGTAGGGAGGGTATTTTTTGGTTTGTGAGTTTCATTCACTTTCCTTCATACATAACGGGAGTTCATGTGACCAAATAATTCTAGTTTGGTTTCATCTGACCATAAAACAG